GTGGAGCATTTTTGGTTCTGTTTGTGTTGTGAAACATGCTGGAGTGAAGGGGGACCAGGTGCTATGAGTTGGCAATCAGCCGATTGCTCCAGCTGCGGCAAGGTGTGGCTTTCCAGTCACTCATCAGACCTATATTCACTATATAAGATGCCAGCAAGCCACAAGTTGACGCTGGATTGTAGTCAAGCCCAAGTTAGTTTGTGGTCGTTCATATACTCTGCTCGTTGTTTTGGTTCAGCTCCTAACTCTACTTTGCTGTGCTCCAGTTTTCGCCACGCTTGCTGCCTTTGAAGTCCATGTCTCATCCCCAACTCCTCTCCGTTGGATTCTTCTTTGGCTCCAGCTCTCCATATCCTCCATTGAAATCATCTGGTCCACCTCCGTCTCCTCCAGCTCCCCAACCCTTGCACCCAGTTTTGTAGTTTGTCAATCTCTCGTCTATTCAAATAGTAGTTCTAGTATTTGATTTGTATTCTTGCAGTAATTTGTTTGTATTTTGTAATTATAGTTTGTCGTCCTCCAGAGGACATTTTGATAAAATTTCTTATAGGAAGCATTTGTTCCTGGTAGTTTAGATTGCTGCCTTGTTTGTTACTTGATTTCACAATTAGTGTTTGTATTTGTGAATAAATATTCTCATTTATTTTCAACTGTTTGGTGGTCGAGTCATCTGTCTGCACTTGAGCCTTTGTGTGTAAATCGTGACATGTTTGATTGACTTGTTCAGCCTGTTAAATTTTTGTAACTCGCGTTTTGATCATCTTATTATTCCTGCTCTTGCTGTTATTGGATCAATGTTGGTCATATGGCATCATGTTAAGAAACTGTAAGAAGATAATCATCAGTGTGAATTTTCACAATGTTTGTACAAAGTGAGACGCCTCATGTGTTTGTTGCAAAATGGTGAAATATATCAATACAATGTCTTTTTTTTTGCATCCTACTGTCATCTTTTATTTTCTCTAATTATTTACCTGCTGAATATTGAGTGAGTAATCCAGTGATTTGACCATAATGGATGTATTTTCTAGGTGGAATGCTGAATAGCTCACTATTCTGAGTACACGTCTGTATTTATTTCTCCTGGAACAAA